AACAGACGATACCAAGCGAGGTACGCAAACTCCAAATATACAGCAGCAGCAGGCGTCAGGGTCGGCATCGAACCCACGACCTCCTGTATACCAGGCGAGGTAGTTAACATCTCCTAGCCACCGTGATGATGATGATGATGAGAGAGAGAGAGACACGCAAACTCCAAATATACAGCAGCAGCAGGCGTCAGCGTCGGGATCGAACCCACGACCTCCTGCACACCAGGCGAGGTAGTTAACATCTCCTAGCCACCGTGTTGATGATGAGAGAGAGAGAGATACGCAAACTCCAAATATACAGCAGGCGTCAGGGTCGGGATCGAACCCACGACCTCCTTCATACCAAGCGAGGTAGTTAACATCTCCTAGCCACCGTGATAATGATGATGAGAGAGAGACACGCAAACTCCAAATATACAGCAGCAGGCGTCAGGGTCGAGAGCGAATCCACGACCTCCTGCATACCAGGCGAGGTATTTAGCATCTCCTAGTCACCGTGATGATGATGAGAGAGACACACTTTAAACTCCCAATACACAGCAGCAGGCGGTAGGGTCGGGATCTACCCCACGACCTCCTGCACACCAGGCGAGGTAGTGAACATCTCCTAGCCACTGCGGTGCCTCAACGCCACGGGCACGGAGAAACATGCGCCACGCCTCGCCCCCTCGACCACCTCGCCACGAGAGGCCCTGCACGTCAACCCGCTTGCTGTATTGACATTCCTGCATTCAAGTAGACGCAGGCGAGAGAGGACGTGGAGAGAGAGAGAGAATGTACGAGAGAGGGCTTCGTCAACTGATCATCATGGCGGTACCCAGGGGTACCAAATAATACGAAATTGGCCGAGGCAATTAAATTTATTTATTTCTGGGACACTTTTTTTTTTGTCTAGGGGTGTAACTCAACTCCGCGACTGGGGCACCGATCATTCCGATGTCGAAACGCAGTGAGGACGATTGCGCCAAAACCCTGAACGCTCGTGGTGGTGCATCGTTCAAACTTCAAAGTTTGAAAGTTCATTTATTAGGAATAGCCCTGTGAGCCATTCGGCTCTTGAATCGGGTGCAACCGCAATAAACAAAAAACAAAAACATGAACAAGAAAACATCTTAAAGTGACTATGTGCAAACAGAAAATCCAAGAAAAGACAGCAAAATATTGCAGAAAATATCACCGTACGCCAACCCTGTGCAAATATCCCAGTGGGATGCAAGTCAAACAACAACAACCACAAGACAACTTAGATTAATGCCATCAATCTAACTCTGTACTACAACAAACAAACATGGCCAAACCAAAAAACTTTTCGAAAATCACCAAAATAAAGCCATGAAAGCAATGAAACAGTGATCATAGGAACTGTGACGGAATTTTCACAATTAACACAATAAACAACATGCACCACCAAAACCCTGCAGCCATAGCTGGCTGCATGAGTCACTCCACAACAGCAGGAGCATCAGTCGGAGTATCAACATTTTTCAATGCACCTTTAAGATCAGCACACTAAATCAAAACACAGATCATACTTTGCATACTTTGCATACTTTGCAGCGATCATCCGGAGCGAAACATTGTATTTTAGGCCACTAAATGGCAGTCGAGATGAGTCGATTGCCACAATCGCTGAACATCAACATTATAAGGTTCAAATTCAAACAGCATTATTCTACACGGAAAGCTACACATGACGTTAAATAATAAATAAAGACATTGAAATTAATGCGCGAATAATACACGCATCGTACTTTATAAATAAGAATACAATTACGTGTATTCACTTCATTCATTTAATTTGTAATACTGTACAGAATAACGTATGTATTTTCAATATAAATTGTCTTTGTTTTTAATCATAATGGTAAGTTTTGAAGTATTTATTGTGTAAAATGGTTCAGTTACGAAGGCTGGGAACGCATCCCCACACCACCAATGTTATATGTTATTCATTATACGACGTTTCGATATACGTTCGTAATAATAATAAAGTGTTAAATTTCGATTTAAAGCTTTCGTGACTGCAGAGATTCATCTTCTTTGTTCTTTCGGTAAAGTCACGTAGAAGGGAAATCATAAAATAATAACAAAATAATAATAAAACATAATAAAATTCTTTTATTATGTTTTATTTTTATTATTGTATTATTTCCATTCTACGTGACTTTACCGAAAGAACCAAGAAGATGAATATAGTATTAATAATATGGTGATAATAATGAATAGTGATAATAATATAGTGTAAGTAATATATATGTAGCATTTATAATAATATAGTGTCAGTAATAACATAGCGTTAATAAAATAGTCATAATAATTTGTAGTGTTCATTATATATGGAGTTAATAACACTGGTCAACAAAAAAAAACACATTTTTTTTTCTGGCCTGGACTTTTGCAGCTGTTCTAGACTAATTTCAGGGTGCTGATTCTAAATCTGATCTCAGATTTGCTCTATCACATCTCATTTTTATGCTATCGGCATACCCCATTTTCATTAATTTTACCCGAAATTAACTGTGTCACTTATGATTGAAAGTTGTTGCGAGTCAGTGACTGCTTTAGTGTTAAAATATGGTGCTGTATTTCTAGGATAGTGTGTTTATAATATAATTTTATGTAGATATCCACATTTATTTAATATTTTTCTTCTGCAGTTTTTATTGAAAATGCAATATTTGATATCTCAAAAACCTGCTGTGATAGACAAAAACTGATGCCAGATTTGGAATCAGCACCCCCAAAATTACCTTAAACCCGTTGGAATACCTCATGCCAGAAAAAGTGTGTTGACCAGTGTTATATATGTTGTTAATAAGAAAGTGTTAGAAATATAGTGTTAACAATGATCGAGTGTTCATGATAACCTAGTGTTCTATCTGACCTGGATTCTACCGATGATTAGTGAATAATTTACTGCGCAGCACTGTACTTTATTAAACATTTATGTACATTGCATATACACTCTTACATCGCACACCTACCCTCGTGTAGGCGAACCACACCTTACGCGGAGGTGTACACAGAACCGAACCACCCCCACCACGTACTCTGAGCCCTTGCTGTTTGTACTCAGCCTAACCCCCCGTCCACCCACCACGTGCACTGGGGTGTGCATTCAGCACCACGGACAACGCCGCCTCTCTCTCTCTCTGAGCTATTGCCACCGCTTCCTTTAACGATCAGCAGTCACCAGCACCCCACCCACCCCACTCTTACCCCCGCCATCGATTTCCCAACCTCACATCGATTCCCTATGAATGATGCCACCGTTCCGGGGTCACCATTTTATTCAAGAGCCCAATCCTTTAGGCAGAACCCTCTCATTCTATCCCTGCGCGTGATGGTGCTGCGGTGGCTAGATGTTAACTACCTCGCCTGGTGTACAGGAGGTCGTGGGTTCGATCCCGACCCTGACGCCTGCTACTGTGTATTGTAAGTTTGCGTGACTCTCTCTCTCCCTGTGGTGAGATTGTTAACTACCTCGGCTGGTATACAGGAGGTCGTGGGTTCGATCCGCACCCTGACAATGCCGGATGTATATTTGGAGTTTGCGTGTCTCTCTCATCATCATCATGGTGGTTAGATGTTAACGACCTCGCCTGGTGTGCAGGAGGTCGTGAGTTCGATCCCGACCCTGACGCCTGCTGCTGTATATTTGGAGTTTGCATGTCTCGTTCTCTCTTATCATCATCATAGTGGTGAGATGTTAACGACCTCGCCTGGTATACAGGAGGTCGTGGGTTCGATCCCGACCCTGACAAGGCCTGTTGTATATTTGGAGTGTGCGTGTCTCTCTCTCTCCCCGTGGTGAGATGTTAACTACATCGCCATGTAAACAGGAAGACAAGCGTTTGGAGTATTTGGTTGCTACCATAAATGTCCACGTGATGATGATGATGATCATCATCATCATTTGCGATGGCGAGGTCGCTTCTGACAAAAATAGCTAGCGAGCTCAGTTGGGCCTCACCTGGTAAAATAAAAATAGTTTGTAATCTAAATAGTGTTCGTTCAGGAGTCGGTAATCACGTTGGCTCTTTTAACAGCTCGCCCTGACCGGCATCACTAATTGGACCAGCTATAATTGTCTTCAGCTCAATGCCAACAAGAGAGAGAGAGAGAAAGAAAGAATAGCTTCTTCTTGTCGGCACAAAGAAGCAATTTGCAAACCTGGACACAATTCGAGGTGAACTCATTGCGCTGAAAGGTAATTCCACTCTATTCTTTGGCTCTTTCGTTAGAAATAAAATAAAACAAATCACGACGTTTCGATCGCAACACAAGCCGTCGTCATCAGGTGGGACAACTACAGCAAGAAACAACTGCTGAAGCAGGCGAGAGAGTTGCCGTGGCACGAGGTTATATAGACGACATCAGTAGGGTACATGGGCTGGGCTAGAGATGGGGGGGGGGGGGGGCAGAGTAAGATCTGCGGCGGCGATGGGAGAGCTATGCGGAGAGAGAGGTGGGGGGTTGCCAATGCAGCAGCAATGGCAATGCAGCAACAACGCCAATGTAGCAGTAATGCCAATGCAGCAGCAATGCCAATGTAGCAGCAATGCCAATGCAGCAGCAATGCCAATGCAGAAACAATGCAGCAGCAATGCCAATGCAGCGGCAATGCCAATGCAGCAGCAATGCCAATGCAGTAGCAATGCCAATGCAGCAGCAATGCAGCAACAACGTCAATGTAGCAGCAATGCAGCAACAACGCCAATGCAGCGGCAATGCCAATGCAGCAGCAATGCCAATGCAGTAGCAATGCCAATGCAGCAGCAATGCAGCAACAACGTCAATGTAGCAGCAATGCAGCAACAACGCCAATGCAGCAGCAATGCCAATGCTGCAGCAATGCAGCAGCAATGCAGCAGCAATGCCCATGCAGCAGCAATACCAATACCGCAGCAATGCAGCATCAATGCAGCAGCAATGCCAATGCAGCAGCAATGCCAATGCAGCAACAATGCCAATGCATAAACAATGCCAATGCAGCAGCAATGCCAATGCAGCAGGCAATGCCAAACGCTGGCGATGCGTGGGGGGAAATTAACCCGGGCAAAAAACAGACCAGCACCCGGCAGATGCAGGCCGGCTACGGGTACGGGTACCCGTTTGCGACCCTGGTGCGGCCGGGTACGGGTACAGGTAGGCCGTGAGTCACTGGTGAGTAACCGTTTGTCACTCATTTCACAACGTCTTGTCTCTTCTCACAATTCAAGTTCCTAGAATCAACCCACCCGCACCTGCAACATGGCTTCATCCCTGAGGTCGCAATCGGGTACCCTATACCCTACCCGATACCCGGCCGGGTACAGGTAGCCGGGGGTAGGGTACGGGCACGGGTACGCGTTTGCGACCCTGGTGCGGCCGGGTACGGGTACGGGTAAGGAATCAAAACCCTAATAGGGTTTTTCTCCTTTTTTATGGCAACAAAACTGACATCTTTTGCAAGGAATCATGCTTACATTAACCACAATACTTGCAGTCAAATGCAAACAAAACAATACTCTGATAATTTATGCATTGTCTTTGAAACTGATTGGTCCACACAAGAAACAGCTTTCTTTAGAGCCTATTAGTTGTGTTCGACCAGATGACGCCAAAAGGAGCATTCGTGATTTGTTTGCATTTGACTGCAAGTATTGTGGTTAATGTGAGCATGATTCCTTGCAAAAGGTGTCAGTTTTGTTGCCAGAAAAAAAGGGGAAAAAACCCTATTAGTACATTTTGGTACTGGCAAAGGAGGTCTCACGATGAATCAAAACCCGTTTGCGACCTCTGGTGTGCGGCCGGAGTGAGTCTGTGGTGAGGCTGCGGTGAGTTCGTGGTGAATGCCGTGCAACTGCTGCCGCTGTGACGCCCTCGTGCCAGGTGGACCGCACGGAGGTGATGCGCAGCACGCTGAGCCCCGTGTTCGCCAAGGTGTTCACGCTCGACTACTCATTCGAGGAGGTTCAGCGCCTCCGCTTCGAGGTCTACGACGTCAGCTCGCGGCACGGCCCGCGCGATGAAGACCTCCTGGGAGCCACCGACACCACCCTGGGGCAGGTGAGCCTGGGTGAGTGGAGGGGGTGGGTGGGTGGGTGGGGCAGGGGAGTGTGGGTGAGTGGAGGGGGTGGGTGAGTGGGTGGGGCAGGTGGGCCTGGGTGAGTGGAGGGGGTGGGTGGGTGGGGCAGGTGAGCCTGGGTGGGTGGAGGGGGTGGGTGGATGGGGCAGGGGAGTGTGGGTGAGTGGAGGGGGTTTGTGGGTAGGTGGGGCAGAGGGAGTGTGGGTGGGTGGAGGGGGTGGGTGGGTGGGGGAGATGAGTTTGGGTGGGTGGAGGGGGTGGGTGGATGGGGCAGGGGAGTGTGGGTGAGTGGAGGGCGTGGGTGGGTGGGGCAGGGGAGTGTGGGTGAGTGGAGGGGGTGGGTGGGTGGGTGGGGGAGTGTGGGTGAGTGGAGGGGGTGGGTGGGTGGCGGGAGATGAGTTTGGGTGGGTGGAGGGGGTGGGTGGGGCAGGGGAGTGTGGAGGGGGTGGGTGGGTGGATGGCGCAGGGGAGTGTGGGTGGGTGGAGGGGTGGGTGGGTGGGGGAGATGAGTTTGGGTGGGTGGAGGGGGTGGGTGGATGAGGCAGGGGAGTGTGGGTGGGTGGAGGGGGTAGGTGGGTGGGGGAGATGAGTTTGGGTGGGTGGAGGGGGTGGGTGGATGGGGCAGGGGAGTGTGGGTGGGTGGAGGGGGTGGGTGGGTGGGTGGATGGCGCAGGGGAGTGTGGGTGGGTGGAGGGGGTGGGTGGGTGGGTGGGGGAGATGAGTTTGGGTGGGTGGAGGAGGTGGGTGGGTGGGTGGGGCAGGTAAGTGTGGGTGAGTGTGGGTGAGTGTGGGTGAGTGTGGCAGGTGAGTGTGGCAGGTGAGTGGGTGTGGGTGAGTGTGTGGGTGAGTGTGGCAGGTGAGTGTGGCAGGTGAGTGTAGCAGGTGAGTGGGTGTGGGTGAGTGTGTGGGTGAGTGTGTGGGTGAGTGTGGCAGGTGAGTGTGGCAGGTGAGTGGGGTGAGTGTGTGGGTGAGTGTGTGGGTGAGTGTGGCGGGAGAGTGTGGCAGGTGAGTGTGGCAGGGGAGTGTGGCAGGTGAGTGTGGCAGGTGAGTGTGGCAGGTGAGTGGGTGTGGGTGAGTGTGTGGGTGAGTGTGTGGGTGAGTGTGGCAGGTGAGTGTGGCAGGTGAGTGGGTGGGTGAGTGTGTGGGTGAGTGTGGCAGGTGAGTGTGGCAGGTGAGTGTGTGGCAGGTGAGTGTGGCAGGTGAGTGGGTGTGGGTGAGTGTGTGGGTGAGTGTGTGGGTGAGTGTGGCAGGTGAGTGTGGCAGGTGAGTGGGTGTGGGTGAGTGTGTGGGTAAGTGTGTGGGTGAGTGTGGCGGTGAGTGTGGCAGGTGAGTGTGGCAGGTGAGTGTGGCAGGTGAGTGTGGCAGGTGATGTGGCAGTGGAGTGGTGTGGGTGAGTGTGTGGGTGAGTGTGTGGGTGAGTGTGGCAGGTGAGTGTGGCAGGTGAGTGGGTGTGGGTGAGTGTGTGGGTGAGTGTGGCAGGTGAGTGTGGCAGGTGAGTGTGGCAGGTGAGTGTGGCAGGTGAGTGTGGCAGGTGAGTGGGTGTGGGTGAGTGTGTGGGTGAGTGTGTGGGTGAGTGTGGCAGGTGAGTGTGGCAGGTGAGTGGGTGTGGGTGAGTGTGTGGGTGAGTGTGGCGGGTGAGTGTGGCAGGTGAGTGTGGCAGGGGAGTGTGGCAGGTGAGTGTGGCAGGTGAGTGTGGCAGGTGAGTGGGTGAGTGTGTGGGTGAGTGTGTGGGTGAGTGTGGCAGGTGAGTGTGGCAGGTGAGTGGGTGTGGGTGAGTGTGTGGGTGAGTGTGGCGGGTGAGTGTGGCAGGTGAGTGTGGCAGGTGAGTGTGGCAGGTGAGTGTGGCAGGTGAGTGTGGCAGGTGAGTGGGTGAGTGTGTGGGTGAGTGTGTGGGTGAGTGTGGCAGGCGAGTGTGGCAGGTGAGTGTGGCAGGTGAGTGTGGCAGGTGAGTGTGGCAGGTGAGTGGGTGTGGGTGAGTGTGTGGGTGAGTGTGTGGGTGAGTGTGGCAGGTGAGTGTGGCAGGTGAGTGGGTGTGGGTGAGTGTGTGGGTGAGTGTGTGGGTGAGTGTGGCGGGTGAGTGTGGCAGGTGAGTGTGGCAGGGGAGTGTGGCAGGTGAGTGTGGCAGGTGAGTGGGTGTGGGTGAGTGTGTGGGTGAGTGTGTGGGTGAGTGTGGCAGGTGAGTGTGGCAGGTGAGTGGGTGTGGGTGAGTGTGTGGGTGAGTGTGGCAGGTGAGTGTGGCAGGTGAGTGGGTGTGGGTGAGTGTGTGGGTGAGTGTGGCAGGTGAGTGTGGCAGGTGAGTGTGGCAGGTGAGTGTGGCAGGTGAGTGTGGCAGGTGAGTGGGGGTGGGTGAGTGTGTGGGTGAGTGTGTGGGTGAGTGTGGCAGGTGAGTGTGGCAGGTGAGTGGGTGTGGGTGAGTGTGTGGGTGAGTGTGTGGGTGAGTGTGGCGGGTGAGTGTGGCAGGTGAGTGTGGCAGGGGAGTGTGGCAGGTGAGTGTGGCAGGTGAGTGTGGCAGGTGAGTGGGTGTGGGTGAGTGTGTGGGTGAGTGTGTGGGTGAGTGTGGCAGGTGAGTGTGGCAGGTGAGTGGTGTGGGTGAGTGTGTGGGTGAGTGTGTGGGTGAGTGTGGCAGGTGAGTGTGTGGGTGAGTGTGGCGGGTGAGTGTGGCAGGTGAGTGGGTGAGTGTGTGGGTGAGTGTGTGGGTGAGTGTGGCAGGTGAGTGTGTGGGTGAGTGTGGCAGGTGAGTGTGGCAGGTGAGTGTGGCAGGTGAGTGTGGCAGGTGAGTGGGTGTGGGTGAGTGTGTGGGTGAGTGTGGCAGGTGAGTGTGTGGGTGAGTGTGGCAGGTGAGTGGCGTCTTCTGCTGTCACACAGATCGTGTCTCAGCGCAAGTTGATCCGCGCCCTGCAGCTCAAGCAGAGGAAATACGCCGTGAAGCCGACCATCACGGTACGGAACCCTGACACACACACACACAAAGACTAAGATCCCCCGTGTAACCTACACAAGCTGTTGGGGCAAGTGCACACAAGGGGGCGGCGTGGTCAGAACCCAGACACGCACACAAGACAAAGATCTTCTTGGTTCTTTCGGTAAAGTCACGTAGAAGGGAAATAATAAAATAATAAAAATACAACATAATTAAATAATTCTCACGACGTTTCGGCCACAACGCAAGCAGCCGTCCTCAGGTGAAGAACAGGTATGTTGGAAAGACAGCGTCTGAATGAACACCACCAGGCTTTGCAGCATATATTTTTCATTCAGACGCTGTCTTTCCGACAGACCTGTTCTTCACCTGAGGACGGCTGCTTGCGTTGTGGCCGAAACGTCGTGAGAATTATTTTATTATGTTTTATTTTTATTATTGTATTACTTCCCTTCGACGTGACTTTACCGAAAGAACCAAAAAGATGAATCCCAGCAGTCACGAAAGCTTTAAATCGAAAGACAAAGATCCCCCGTATAGCTTTCCTATAGACTGTAGGGGCAAGTGCTGTTAGCGAGCGCCTATGAAGGCCGGCACGGCACACGAGTGGGTGGGTGGACATCCCCGCACCCGGCCGCCTTTGTCTCCCTCGTGGCGATTTTTACACACCGCGCCAGGTACTCATTTCAGGCTGAGTCGACTGTAGGGGAGGCCCAGGACCGGTTCAAATAGTCCTCACCGGTATTGGCCGTGTGCGGGAATCGAACTCGGATCGCCGGGTTCGTAGCGCCCACCGCTGCACCGCCGCTCCCCACGCAACAAAGTAAAGCTAAAGATCCCCCGTGTAGCTCTTTAACAGACTGTCAGGGGCAAGTGCTGCTGTTAGCGAGCACCAGCGAAAGCCGGTGGCCTGCACCACGCCATTAGACATCCGCTCTCTACAGAACTCTAAGGAGGAGAAGCCACGCAACCTTCACGTAACAGAACCTCTGCCCGTGTAGGGGATCGAACCCAGGCTCACCCCTCGTTTGCTGTGCGGCACAGGTGTGGGTGTATGTGTTGGGGAGCGGTGGTGTAGCGGTTAGCACGCTGCGCTATGAACCCGGCGACCCGGGTTCGATTCCCGCTCACGGCAAACACCAGTGACGATTATCTGAACCGGTCCTGGGCCTCCCCTAGGTCGACTCAGCCTTAAATGAGTACCTTTTGCGGTGTGTAAACATCGCCACTAGGGAGACAAAGGCGGTCGGGCGTGGTGCTGGCCCACCCACCCCCTCGTGTACCGTTCCGGCCTTCATAGGTGCTCGCTAACAGCACTTGCCCCTACAGTCTGTTAAGGCTACACGGGGGATCTTTGTCCTTTGTGTCACCAGTGCCCATGATCAGGCGTGGCCGACTACAATAACAAGAACAGCCATTGTACTCGAATTCGGTACAACAACAACAATAACAACAAACCTCCCCCCTCGATATTTGAAGAGGCGAAATTGCACGTGGTGATTACGAGACGGCCATGGTCCTCGATGAATGACGTCACAAAGCAGCCAACCAAGCCCCCCCCCTCCCCCCCATCCCTCCCACCCCCCCTCCCTCCCACTCCACAGATCATCTCGGACGAGCTGACGAGCAACAACGACTACGTGACGCTCGCCTTCCACGCACTCAAGCTGGACGACAAGGTAGTGGTGGTGATGGTGGTGATGGTGGTGGTCGTGGTGGTCGTGGTGGTCGTGGTGATGGTGGAGATGGTGATGGTGGTGGTGATGGTGGTGGTGATGGTGGTGATGGTAGTGGTGATGGTAGTGGTGATGGTGGTGGTGGTGATGGTAGTGGTGATGGTAGTGGTGATGGTGGTGGTGGTGCTGATGTTGGTGGTTGATGGTGGTGGTGATGGTGGTGGTGATGGTCGATTCCCGCTCACGGCCACCAACACCAGTGACGATTATCTGAACCGGTCCAGGGCCTCCCCTAGGTCTACTCAACCTCAATTGAGCACCTGGTGTTCTGTGTAAATATCGCCACTGGGGAGACAAAGGCGGCCGGGCGTGGTGTTCGCCACCCACCCCCTCGTGTGCCGTGCCGGCCTTCATAGGTGCTGCTCGCTAACAGCACTTGCCCCAGCAGTCTGTTGAGGCTATACGGGGGATCTTTGTCTTTGGTGGTAATGCCTGGTGATCGCCCGGCCACCCAGAGCTCATGGTCACCCCCCCTCACCCCCCCCCGTATTTTCGAGCCATCATCATCATCACCATCATCACCATCACCATCATCACCACCATCATCATCACCATCATCATCACCATCATCATCACCATCATCACCACCATCATCATCACATCATCACCATCATCACCATCATCACCACCATCATCATCACATCATCACCATCATCACCATCATCACCATCATCACCATCATCATCACCATCACCACCATCATCACCATCATCACCATCATCATCACCATCACCATCACATCATCACCATCATTATCACCATCATCACCACCATCATCATCACATCATCATCACATCATCACCATCATCACCATCATCACCATCATCACCATCATCACCACCATCATCATCACATCATCACCATCATCACCATCATCACCATCATCACCATCATCATCACCATCACCACCATCATCACCATCATCACCATCATCATCACCATCACCATCACATCATCACCATCATCACCACCATCATCATCATCACATCACCACCATCATCACATCATCACCATCATCACCACCATCATCATCACATCATTACCATCATCACCATCATCACCATCATCATCACCATCACCACCATCATCACCATCATCACCACCACCATCATCACCATCATCACCACCGTGGTGGTTGTGGTTGTCCTGGTGGTCGTGATCATTGCAAGTGGTAGCGTAATGCAGCAATGGTAGCACCGTCATCATCAGTTTGAGCAGCAGCATCAGCAGCATGAGCATCATCATCAGGGGCAGCACCATCATCATCAGCTGCAGCAGCAGCATCATCATCATCAGCAGGACCATCATCATCATCAGCAGCATCATCATCATCATCAGCGTGAGCAGTATCATCATCAGCAGGAGCAGCAGCATCATCATCAGCAGGTGCAGCACCATCATCAGCAGCATCATCATCATCAGCGTGAGCAGCAGCACCGTCATCATCAGCAGGTGCAGCAGCAGGAGCATCATCATCAGCTGCAGCAGCACCATCATTAACAGCAGGAGCAGCAGCAGCATCATCATCAGCAGCAGCATCATCAGCAGCAGCACCATCATCATCAGCTGGAGCAGCAGCAGGAGCACTATTAGTTAATGTCTGCGTTGGCTTGCAAATGTGCACTTCTGTGCTGTGCTGCTCTGTGCTCTGACGCCTCCCCGTGCAGGACTTCTTCAGCAAGTCGGACCCCTTCCTCGAGATCTTCCGTCTCAACGACGACGGCACCCAGCAGCTCGTGCACCGCACCGAGGCGAGGAAGTCGCTCACTCACCCAACCACTCACTCACCCAACCACTCACTCAGCCACTCACCCAACCACTCACTCACCCAACCACTCACTCACCCAACCACTCATTCAGCCACTCACCCAACCACTCACTCACCCAACCACTCACTCACCCAACCACTCACTCACCCAACCACTCACTCAGCCAAGCACTCACTCACCCAACCACTCACTCACCCACTTACTCAACCACTCACCCACCCAACCACTCACTCAGCCAACCACTCACTCACCCAACCACTCACTCAGCCAAGCACTCACTCACCCAACCACTCACTCACCCACTTACCCAACCACTCACCCACCCAACCACTCACTCAGCCAAGCACTCACTCACCCAACCACTCACTCAGCCACTTACCCAACCACTCACTCAGCCAAGCACTCACTCACCCAACCACTCACTCAGCCAAGCACTCACTCAGCCAAGCACTCACTCAGCCACCCAACCACTCACTCACTCAACCACTCACTCAGCCAAGCACTCACTCAGCCACTCACCCAACCACTCACTCACCCAACCACTCATTCACCCAACCACTCACCCAACCACTCACTCAGCCACTCACTCACCCAACCACTCACTCACCCACCCACCCACTTACTCATCCAACCACTCACTCAGCCACTCACCCAACCACTCACTCAGCCAACCACTCACTCACCCAACCACTCACTCAGCCACTCACTCATTCACCCAACCACGCACTCACTCACCTACCCACCCACCCACCCACAAACCTACCCACCCACAAACCCACCCACCCACAAACCCACTCACCCACCCACCCACACACCCACCCACTCACCCACCCACACACCCACCCACACACCCACCCACACACCCACCCACACACCCACCCACACACCCACTCACCCACCCACCCAGCCACTCACCCACTCACCCACCCACCCACCCAGCCACTCACTCACTCACCCACCCACCCACAAACCCACTCATCCACCCACCCACCCACTCACCCACACACACACCGACCCACACACTCACCCACTCACCCACCCACTCATCCACCCACCCACCCACTCACCCACCCACCCACTCACCCACCCACCCAGCCACTCACTCACCCACCCACCCACTCACCCACTCACCCACCCACTTCACCCATCGTCTCCGTGTGTGCTCCCTCCTCCTCCTCCTCGCCGTCCGCGTGTGCCCGCGGTGTCCCACAGGTGATCATGGACAACCTGAACCCGGTGTGGAAGCCCTTCAAGGTGTCCATCCAGTCGCTGTGCTGCTGCGACTACGAGAGGCAACTGAAGGTGCCGTCACGTGGCGGGGCACGTGGTGGAGTGGTGGTGGTGGTGATGGTGGTGGTGGTGTGGTGGTGATGGTGGTGGTGATGGTGGTGGTGATGGTGGTGGTGTGGTGGTGATGGTGGTGGTGGTGTGGTGGTGATGGTGGTGGTGATGCTGCTGATGATGCTGCTGCTGATGATGATGTTGCTGCTGATGTTGCTGCTGCTGCTGCTGCTGATGCTGCTGCTGATGCTGCTGCTGCTGATGAAGATGATGCTGCTGCTGCTGCTCATGATACTGCTGCTGCTGATGATGATGATGTAGCTGCTGATGCTGCTGATGATGATGCTGCTGCTGCTCGCTACCGACAGCCTGGTTGAAGGTCACGTGGGGTGCGACCTTTGTGTGTGTTGCCCACTCGGCAGTGCATGGTGTGGGACTGGGACTCGAGCGGGAAGCACGACTTCATCGGGGAGTTCTACACCACCTTCCACGAGACACTCGCCGCTCAGGATGACACACACGTGAGTCCTGATGGTGCCTCCCAACACACACACACACAGACACACACACACATACAGACACACACCCACACACACACAGGCACACACACCCACACACCCACACACACCACCCCTCCTAGCCAGAGCCGGATGAGGCGAGTCATGGGCCTGTAATATATGTTATACTGGTAGGAACCTCCTGGTTACACCAGCCCACAGGGGATTATTGTGTCCGTCCGACCGTCGTGAATCCAAAAATGGGAGGGGTGGGGCTGGGTGGAGAGGGGAGGGTGGGGAGGGGTTGAGTGGGGAGGGTGGGGCTGGGTGGGGGGTGGGAGGGGTGGGGCTGGGTGGGGAGGGGCTGGTCACCCCGTGGTGCCCTTATAAAACTCAACGTTTAACCTGACTGAGTGACTGGGTGACTGGGTGACTGAGTGACTGGGTGACTGGGTGACTGGGTGACTGTGTGACTGTGTGACTGAGTGACTGGGTGACTGAGTGACTGAGTGACTGGGTGACTGAGTGACTGGGTGACTGAGTGACTGAGTGACTGGGTGACTGAGTGACTGTGTGACTGGGTGACTGAGTGACTGGGTGACTGTGTGACTGTGTGACTGAGTGACTGGGTGACTGTGTGACTGGGTGACTGAGTGACTGGGTGACTGAGTGACTGAGTGACTGGGTGACTGAGTGACTGGGTGACTGGGTGACTGAGTGACTGGGTGACTGGGTGACTGAGTGAGTGTGTGACTGAGTGACTGGGTGACTGAGTGACTGATTGACTGAGTGACTGGGTGACTGACTGACTAGGTGACTGAGTGACTGGGTGACTGAGTGACTGAGTGACTGGGTGATTGAGTGACTGAGTGACTGAGTGACTGGGTGACTGAGTGACTGAGTGACTGTGTGACTGAGTGACTGGGTGATTGAGTGACTGAGTGAATGAGTGACTGGGTGACTGGGTGACTGAGTGACTGAGTGACTGAGTGACTGGGTGACCGAATGACTGAGTGACTGGGTGACTGAGTGACTGGGTGACTGGGTGACTGAGTGACTGAGTGACTGGGTGACTGTGTGACTGAGTGACTGTGTGACTGAGTGACTGTGCGACTGAGTGACTGAGTGACTGTATGACTGAGTGACTGAGTGACTGGGTGACTGGGTGACTGAGTGACTGAGTGACTAGGTGACTGAGTGACTGGGTGACTGGGTGACTGAGTGACTGAGTGACTGGGTGACTGAGTGACTGGTTTGTGTTGCACAGGTGCAGTGGCCATGCATCAACCCCAAGTACAAGGCCAAGAAACGGCGGTACAAGAACTCGGGAACAGTCATTCTCGCGCAGTGCAGGGTACGTACACTCACACACACACAGTGCGCACACACACAGTGCACACACACACACAGTGCACACACACACACAGTGCACACACACACAGTGCGCACACACACACAGTGCACACACACACAGTGCGCACACACACACAGTGCGCACACACAGTGCACACACACACACAGTGCGCACACACACAGTGCGCACACACACACAGTGCGCACACACACAGTGCACACACACACAGTGCACACACACACACAGTGCGCACACACACAGTGCACACACACACAGTGCGCACACACACACAGTGCGCACACACACAGTGCACACACACACAGTGCGCACACACACAGTGCACACACACACACAGTGCGCAACACACACAGTGCACACACACACAGTGCACACACACACACAGTGCGCACACACACAGTGCGCACACACACAGTGCACACACACACAAACAGTGCGCACACACACACAGTGCGCACACACACAAACAGTGCGCACACACACACAGTGCACACACACACAGTGCGCACACACACAGTGCGCACACACACAAACAGTGCGCACACACACACAGTGCACACACACACAGTGCGCACACACACACAGTGCACACACACAGTGCACACACACACAGCGCACACACACAGTGCACACACACAACAGTGCGCACACACACACAGTGCACACACCACACAACAGTGCGCACACACACACAGTGCGCACACACACAGTGCGCACACACACAGTGCACACACACACAGTGCACACACACACAGTGCACACACACAGTGCACACACACACACAGTGCGCACACACACAGTGCACACACACAGTGCACACACACACATTGCACACACACACACACAGTGCGCACACACACACAGTGCGCACACACACACAGTGCACACACACACAGTGCACACACACACACAGTGCACACACACACACAGTGCGCACACACACACAGTGCGCACACACACACACAGTGCACACACACACACAGTGCACACACACACACAGTGCACACACACACAGTGCGCACACACACAGTGCACACACACAGTGCACACACACAGTGCGCACACACACAGTGCGCACACACACACAGTGCACACACACACAGTGCACACACACACACAGTGCGCACACGCACAGTGCGCACACACACAGTGCGCACACACACAGTGCACACACACACACAGTGCGCACACACACAGTGCACACACACACACAGTGCACACACACACACAGTGACACACACACACAGTGCGCACACACACAGTGCACACACACACACAGTGCGCACACACACAGTGCACACACACACAGTGCGCACACACACAGTGCACACACACACACAGTGCGCACACACACAGTGCACACACACACACAGTGCGCACACACACAGTGCACACACACAGTGCACACACACACATTGCACACACACACATTGCACACACACACACACAATGCGCACACACACACAGTGCGCACACACACACAGTGCACACACACACAGTGCACACACACACACAGTGCGCACACACACACAGTGCGCACACACACACACACAGTGCACACACACACACAGTGCACACACACACACAGTGCACACACACACACAGTGCGCACACACACAGTGCACACACACAGTGCACACACACACAGTGCGCACACACACAGTGCGCACACACACACAGTGCACACACACACAGTGCACACACACACACAGTGCGCACACGCACAGTGCGCACACACACAGTGCGCACACACACAGTGCACACACACACACAGTGCGCACACACACAGTGCACACACACACACAGTGCACACACACAGTGCACCCACACACAGTGCACACACACACACAGTGCACACACACACAGTGCACACACACACACAGTGCACACACACAGTGCACACACACACAGTGCACACACACACACACAGTGCACACACACACAGTGCCCACACACACAGTGCACACACACAGTGCGAACACACACACAGTGCACACACACACACAGTGCACACACACACAGTGCGCACACACACACATTGCACACACACACACAGTGCGCACACACACACAGTGCGCACACACACACAGTGCGCACACACAGTGCGAACACACACACAGTGCGCACACACAGTGCGCACACACACACAGTGCGCACACACACACAGTGCAGTGCACACACACACAGTGCACACACACAGTGCACACACACACAGTGCACACACACACATTGCACACACACACATGCCACACAGTTGCACACACAGTGCACACACCACACACAGTGCACACACACACATTGCACACACACACAGTGCACACACACACACTGCACACACACACTGCACACACACACACATTGCACACACACACACTGCACACACACACTGCACACACACACACACAGTGCACACACACACAGTGCACACACACACTGCACACACACACAGTGCACACACACACTGCACACCACACACAGTGCACACACACACACTGCACACACACACAACTGCACACTGCACACACACAGTGCACACACACACAGTGCACACACACACACTGCACACACACACACACAGTGCACACACACACAGTGCACACACACACACTGCACGCACACACACACAGTGCACACACACACACTGCACACACACACACACAGTGCACACACACACAGTGCACACACACACACAGTGCACACACACACAGTGCACACACACAGTGCACACACACACACACAGTGCACACACACAGTGCAC